TTCTCTTCTTTGTTGAGTCGGTTGATTGTGTGGTACAGCTCCCATTCGCTGAAAGTGGACAATGGGGACATTGTCTGCTCTTAAGTGTGGGGGAGCTTTTGCATTTTATGTGGCTATGTGGTTGACCAGGTCTAGTTTTATTTTTAGGTCGTTTTATCTCTTTCTTTTGCGTGGTAGACCAGTCTAGTTTTAGGTTTTTATTTGTTTCTGAACTTGGATCATGGTATATTGTAAGACTGGTTGATGACTGTTGGTTGAATTTGAGAAGTTGTGATGATGTGATCGAGTAATGCATTTTGATTTATTGGCTTGGTTATTTTGAGGAACATATCTACCTTGTGAGGTTTAAGCCTTTATTGTTTTTCGTGTGATATTGATCAGAATCTTGTCAAGTAGAATTTGCCTTGAGACTGCTGTGAAATAACTCGATTAGATTTGTGAAACATGAATATGATTGAGGCATTTCTTGTATTATCCTTTTTCTTTTCTTTTTTGTGAATAACAGTCGCTAGTTACCCCCTTTGAGCCTTGATCGATTTTATTGATTAGCCTCGTGATGATGATATTGAGTTGCGGGTTGAATGTTGGAGGTGATAGTTGATTGCATGGTATATATGTTTATCTGCTTTGAAAAAAAAAAATGGGAAAGTCAAATGGATTATACTCCTAGCGCTACGTCCACTAATGTAGTGGATAAGAGCCATGAGTACGTGAAACCGGTCTAGGAGACTCGGGCAGAAAACCCGAAGGCTAAACCTAGATAAGACGTCCAAATGGTTTTCGCAAAAAAAAAAAAATAAATAAATAAATAAATAAATAAATAAAAGAAATGCAAAAATGCTTGGGATGTATGTTGGTCTTGGAGTTAGTGGGAGGAGCCGGTTGGTGTCAACTGGATGTGTTTGTTGATATGGTTGGGTGCAGAGTTGAGTTGATGTATTTTGAGCCACTTAGCCTATATTTTTCCTACCCGATCCAAAGAGTCTACGTTACAACCCTTAAAGACCTCTTGATTCAGTGTTTTATAAATTTGATTGTTTTAGAGTAGAAGTTAGTCGATAGGTAAATCTATGATCGACTTGACTGATAACCAATTTGAGTGCACCTCTCTTATATTTTGCGAAGAAACTGAGTGAGGAATATATTTATATATACTTGTTCTTGAGAGTCTTTGTTCTTCGAAATGACTGAAGTTGATTATTGAGGTGTGATCTTGTGATCGTTGGAATTCTTCTCAGTTTAATTGATATGTTTGAGATTGATCTTGCTTGAACCATTGTCCTTGATCATTTATTGGTTTCTTCTCTTTTCTTTTCCTTTTGTTCGGGACGAACAAAGGTTTTAGTGTGGGGGAGTTGTTTGTCCCATTTTTGTGTCTTTATTTTGGGTTTATTTTCTCTTTATTTTTCCCCACGTATAGGATTTTCGTAGTTTATTTGGTCCAATTCTGTGATTTTTCCGTTTTTCTCTTTAGTTCGTTTTGTGCGTCTTTTTGCTGTGTTTTGCTTTCGTGTTTTCTTCGTGTTTGTGTTTTCAGGAGTTAGGTTGTGTTGATCGAGGACGGGACTACTTGAGCTGAGACCGGGATATCAAGAAGACCCATTAATGTGCTCAGAATACTGAAGGAAGGACCGAAAAAAACTGACAGAAAAGCTGCTCAGAACTTCTCGCGACTCGCGAGTCGGTGTCGCGACTCGCGAGATGGTCGCGACTCGCGAGAAGGTCACGACTCGCGAGTCTAACAGAGCCGAAAGGACAAATTCCGCGAGACGAGTCGCGACTCGCGAGTCAACGTCGCGACTCGCGAGACAAGTCGCGAGTCAGATCGCGAGTTTCCCCAGAATTTGCATATTTTTTGAAGACGCGCGACTCGCAAGATGTCGTGACTCGCGACTCGCAAGATGTCACGACTCGCGACTCGGCAAAACTGAAAGTCGCGACTCGCGACTTATGTCGCGACTCGCGACCTGATCGACGCGATTTTTGAGGACGGGATTTTAAGTTCAGAATTTCGACCTAGACATTATTATTCACATTCCAGACTTCGTTTTTACACTTTTTCTCTCTAGAAACTCATTCCTTTTCATACTTTTGCTATTTTGGATTGGTTTTGGAGATTGAAACTCTGTTTTCTGGCTTGGATTTGGATTGTTAAGTGAATTTGACATTGGGATTCTTTAATTAATCGTAAGTTCTTCTTTTCTCAATTGTGTGATTGATGATGATGACTTGGGTTTGTATGAATTTTGATGTTGAATTCCATAGGAGTAGCTAAATCCATACGCTATGGATAGAGGATGATTGATTAGGTTCGATTATAATTGCTTGTTCTTAATTGTTCAAATCTATTCAAGTTGTTCTTATTATAGGGTTAGTAGATTGATCACCTTTCTAACCTAATTAATAAACGTGTAGAACCGAGAGGGGAGACGTTGGTGGATATAGGCTTGTTTAGAGTAGACTTGTTCGTAATAGTATTGTCTATGAGTTGTTGGAATTGATAGTTGATCGTGTACGTTCACTCTCTTGTTACGAAGAGTTATTAAGAGTGAGCCTCTAGACGAGAAACGATTCAAGTCCTTTAACCGAGCAATTGATTGCCAGTAGTTGTGTTAGAACCGAAAGCAATTATCCCCGATTCCCTAGCTCTTTAATCATTTGAGTAAACTCGTTTGCTATTTAAATCGCTTTTCATTTATTTTCAAGTCGCTAGTTATAATTAAAATCAAAACATTTGAATAGAGTGTTTAGGAATCTTTTCTTTTCTTTCGCGTGATCGAATAATCGTACAATTGAATCCGGCTAACCTTCCTTGCGATACGACCCGGGGAACGAATCTTTCGATTCTACTCCGGTAAAAATACTCACAACAACATGCGATACTATATAGAAGTATGGGTTGCGCCTGAATGACATAGCGACACACCTTGCCAAGTTGGACACGAAGATGGTGGAGAGTGAGATCAGCGCAAAGATACTTTGTACCCTACCACCTCAGCTCAAGCAGATCAAGATCACAATCCAGACACTACTTGACACATCGAACACGACTGTCGCTGAAATAAATGGGTGACTGAAGCAAACAAATAAGGGTTGAAGAAGCTCCGGAGTTGCTGAAGAACGAGAAAGAATTGTACCTCACGGAAGAGAAATCAGACACGTGGTCGAAGAAGCGCGAGGTAGAGAACCATTCCAGCGGCGACGCAAGATGTCAGGGCAGTGCGAATAAAGGGAAAGAAAGACGCATGGGTGGGCATGGATGTCTATCGTCTGTCAGGCTGTCGAATTCACACCGGCCCACTGGCAATGAATGCAGGCGATGCAAGAAGATGGGCCATTGGGTATGTTAGTATCGGTCAAAGCCCAAGAAATAACAAACCCAAATGGCATAGTATGAGGATGATGCACCACTCCTCATCATGAAGTGCTCTCTATCCCCATCGCCACGACAAACATTCGAGTGTGGATTGTCACTCAGGGCACTGATTTTGGCCCCGTCAATACTACAAGAAACTATGGCGGTGTCACAGATCTAGAACAGCGCCGATGGGATCGAGCGCCCCGATCGCGATCTGTGAGGAGAAAGTGTTCGAACACATCCGCAAGGAGAAAGAGTGAGAGACAGAGACCTGAGTCCTGGAAACTAAAGCCACCAACCACATGTCCAGATCCAAGGCCGCATTTTTTAAGTTGAACATGGCGATGCTTGGTGCTATGCGGTTCAGCAATGACACGGCAACGTGGATTGAGTGTCGGGGCACTATCGTGTTCACGTGTTAGAACAATGAGCTCTAGTCATTTTCTAGCGTCTACTTCATTTCATTTCCTTACTGAATTTAGTTCAATACGAAAGTGCTCCCACATTTGATGACGAACATTGTAAGCCTCGACCAGCTAGGAGAGAATGGCTACAAGGTCGATATTAACGACGTGGTGGTGAGGATCAAGGATCCCGATGGACAGCTGTTGGCGGAGATGATGCAGATAACCAACCGCATGTACAAACTCCACATCAAGATGACACAATCATCGTTCTTGGTGTGTGCAGTTGCGGTCACAAGGTAGTATGGAACTGGAATGAGCGATTTGGCCATTACAACTAGGCATTGCATGGGAAGAGTTGTTGCATGGCCTGCCAGTGACTGGGCAGGTCGACCAGGGGTGCAACATGTATCAGGTCGGGAAGAAGAGGTGAATTCGTTTTTTATGCAAGTGGAGTATCTTTCACAACAACATCTCGAGCAAGTGCATAGTGATCTATGCAGCCCCATCACGTCGGCGACGCCCAGAGGTAACAAGTACTTCTTGCTGATGGTAGAGGACCTCAATAGATACATATAGCCAGTCATGATCCCCTCAAAGGATCATGTCGCGGTTGATATCAAAGATATTCGGTTGTGGGGGAAAGGGATTCCGGCTTCAAGATCAAGACAATCCATCCCGATTGCTGAGATAAGTTTAGTTAGTGGACTACTGTGCCCCCGAGAGCATGCACCGTTAGCACAAAGTGCCTTATAGCTTGCAACAGAACGATGTCGTTGAATGTTGCAATGGCAAGGAGATGGCAACGACGAAGAGCATGCTCATGGCCAAGGGCTAGCCTAGATTCTTATGGGGTAAGACGATCAACATCGCTGTGTACGTGGTGAATAGAAGCCTGACCAAGAGCGTGGAGGGGATGTGATAAAGATCGTGTATCTTGAAACTTTTTTGTTTCGAAAGTTTCTTAGACAACTTCCTTCTTAGCGATAGATTGTGGATGACTTGGATTTCTACTTATCTTTTCATGATTTTGAGACTTCTCGGATGTGATATCTTTACCAAAATCGAGCTTATGATGAATTATGTAATGAAACACCCTTTTTGACAAAAGAATTTTTTGATGAAACTCAAGAATACCAACACAAATAATTGGTGATCTAAGAACCGGTCTTTTTATTAATCAAAAGCTGACAAATTTAGAATAACAATGGCAAATATTAAAGGGAAAAAATAAGTATAATCTTCAGAGATCTAGAACTCTAATCTATAGAAAATAATATCAAGTCCTATGGTGACTAAATATATCTAATAACTCTAAATAAATCTTGTTAGGTTTGCTGTAAAGGCTTGACTTTCAGATTCTAGTAATTCTAATTTAATCTGGCAATAATGTTTTTGCCAAAATACTTATGTTTTTGCAGTTTATTTATTTGTGCAATCATACTCATTTATCTTACATTGTAGATAGTATGATTTGATGTGTTGAACATAAAGATCACATATCGTTTCATTGTAAGATAAGCTAATCGTTCACAATCTAGATAGACATTGAGACCCTACTGGAAAACAACTGTAGTGTAGTCTTGATTCAGTTGGTCTTTGACTAAATTTTAAGTATTGAACAAGACCGCACAAGGATATGATGATAAGATTTATTGATCATAGTTATAATCTAGACCTTCAATAATTGATGCGTACGCTTAAGCCGCAAGATAATATAAAACGAGCATATATTATTCACTACTTGTTTATTTGATTTACCAAGTGTGATTCCTATTTTACTAGAATGACATGCTTGGTATTTTGATAATTGATGATGTTTATATGATGTGCTGTTATAAATTATTTACGGTCATTATGTCCGAGTGCGCTGGGTTGATGACGTCCCCAAAATGAGCTTGTTGATACCAAATTTGGCTCCGCTTATTTAAATAATAAATGAAATAATAAAATATTGTCCGATAATCAAGGAGTCGAAAATATGCAATAAATATACAAACAGATGCTCAAGACCGATCATCTAAAAGCCGACCGAGTCCCCCGGTGTCGAACCCGCCGCTGTCGAGCCGGATAGAGTCCAAAGTGGTTGGATGGCCCATATATCCCGAAGACCCGTCTCCGGTAGGCACAATCCGAGCTGTCGAAAGTCTCGCGTGGACCCCCAGTTGTCACATGACATTAAATATTATTGTATTTTTGTTATTATTACTTTCTTAATTAATATGTGTGTATATATATGAGGAGAGGGGAGAGGGGAAGGGATTCCACTATTCACCCTCCACCCAACCGAGAAGGAGAGGATTCTCCGAAAAATCACAAGAAATAAGAACACATTTTTCACCATTTTGTTCTTCATTTTCGTACATGAAATTCGATTTATATACAGCGGTTGATCGTCTGAATTCCGACATCAACAGTTTGGCGCTAGAAGGAGGGCCCCGTAATTTGCCCGGAGTCAATTTTTGCCGGAAAATGGCCACCTCTCCACCGGAGAAGAACTTCATCGAGTTTTTCTTTCATATCATTTTTCTATACACTTATTTCT